CTGGTGCTGCTGCGGGGCCGGGCGGGCGCGGGGCTGCTCTGCCCGCGGGACACCCCCTCGCGCGACCTCAAGGAGCTCGGCGGCCTCTGGCGCTTCCGGGCCGCCAAGCGGGGGCGGCGGGACCTGGAGCAGGTGCGGGGCGGGGGTGGGCACGTCCTCCGCGCCTCCCCTTCAGCCGGGCTCGTCTCTGAAGCCCCCCAGCAAGTCGGGGGGGTGGAGGATACTTGCGGGCAGTAGCGGGGTTTTGAAGGACAGCTTTTAATGTGAGCTGGTGCATGGGGCGGGGAATAAAATCCACCAAAAAAATTAAAGATAACCGTAAGCGATGAGAAGCGCCCCTGTACAAAGGGGCAAGGGGGCGGGCGTGAGGTTTAAAAGGAGGGAGCTGCCTTGTGAGGTGGTGGGTGCGGGCCTGCAGGAGGGACACGTCAGGGGATTAAAGAGGAAACGGGGACGGAGCGAAGGTCAGAGGCGCGGAAGGAGTCCCCTGAAGGAGACCGGGCAAGGCCTGGGTCTGACCCAGTAAATGGCCATTCTTGTGTTCGTAGATTCATAGGTGTTTGGGTCGGAAGGGACCTCGGTAGGTCATCGAGTCCGACCCCCTGCCTGGGCAGGGAAGAGAGGTGGGGTCAGATGACCCCAGCCCGGTGCTTGTCCAGCCTCCTCTTAAAGACCCCCAGGGTAGGGGAGAGCACCCCCTCCCTTGGGAGCCCATTCCAGATTTTGGCAGCCCTCGCCGTGAAGAAGTTCTTCCTGATGTCCAAACCAAATCTGCGCTCTGTCACTTTGTGGCCATTGTTCCTAGTTACTCCAAGGGGTGCCCTGGGAAACAGAGCATCTCCTATTCCTTGCTCCACCCCCCCGATTAATTTGTAGGGACCACTAGATTCCCCCCCTCAGCCTTGTCTTATGGAGGCTGAAGAGATCCAGGGCCCCTAATCTCTCCTCATAGGGCTTTGCCTGCAGGCCCCTAACCATACGAGTAGCCCTCGTCTGGACCCTCTCAAGGTTGTCCACATCCCTCTTGAAGTGCGGCACTTAGTACTGGACGCAATACTCCAGCTGCAGCCTCACCAGTGCCCCTGAGGGGAAGTCCCATAGAGGGGAAGTATCACCTCCTTAGACCTGTTCGTCTTGCACCTGCTAATGCATGTTCTTCAAGATGCTTTCCAAGTGCTCGTCAACAAAATCAAACACATGGTGTATAACAGCCGTCGACATTCATACAGAGCAGCTTATTTTGTAATGTTACTTGAGAAGGGCAAATTCTATCTAGAACAGCATCAGGGAGTCCCTACGTTCTTTGTGGTGGAAAAGCTTTAAAGAAAAGCCACCTTGATCAAACTTTAAAGTGTGCAGTGGTTTTTTGAACGTTAAATATTCATAGTATGGTGCCCACTCAGGGTCTGCACTGCTCTTGAGCTGTAGAAACAGCCACCAGCACGTGTTCCCTGAGTAGAAGACTTGATGCCAGATACCGCCAGTGAAGTAGCTTGGCTTGGCAGGACAGGCATATGCTACCTCATCAGATAATGGGCATTTTGCCATTCTGGTGCTCTGGCTGTGGCAGATGAGTGCATGTGGACTTTGAAAAGGTAACTGAGGACTGGAACTGATGGAGTAGAAACTCAACTTTTAGCTGGATGCACAGGTTAATATTTGCAGGGGTGTAGGTTTTAGCTGTGTTGGTCTAAGGACATAGGCAGACAAGGTTCCTTGGGTGAATTTGATATCTTTTATTAGACCAACCCAAATAGTTGGAGAATAGTTATTAAGCAAGCTTTCGGGTTCAAACACCCTTCATCAGGTTAATATTTAAAACTCGTGTATGGTGTTGCCCATTGTTTACTAAGGAGAGTGTAATAACCCCATGGAAATGTGCGTGAAAGGTGTATGATCCCACTATTTTCTCTGTTAATGAAAGGCTTGTTATCCGTCAGCATCCTCTGCTGGTTGACTGGTGTAGCTCTGTGAAATCCCAAATACTGTAGCTAGTGCTGTGCAACTTGAGGGGATGCCCAAGCTCAAACCAGGCTCCTGTGATTTCCTGTGATGAGGTGGGGGCCTGGTCATTCTGGGGCTGATAGGATGGTGGATAGAAATTACACGGGGCTTCGCAACTTCAGTCTAAATCTAAAAAGAATATGACACCTGTCAGGGATGGTTGTGCCTAGAAGTCTCGCTGCTCCAACTGTTCTCACTCTTCTGATATGAAAGAGTGAAGTGAAGGGACGTGAGCCCACTGAACTAAGGCTGGTCGATTATAAAGCAGCATCTGGCCCATCGTGGGTGTGCCAGTGAAGCCTCTTGCTCTGTGACCCACACAGCTCTGCTTCCTTTTTTAAAAAGTTCACACTTCTTATTTTTAAACTCGCCCTATCTGGTTTGACCCGTTCAGAGTGGACCTGTGATTGACATGCCAGTACCTGCCAGCTTCAATGACATCACTCAGGATCCCAACCTGCGGCGATTCATCGGCTGGGTGTGGTATGAGAAGGAGGTGCTGCTTCCCAAGCACTGGCTTCAGGACACCTTCAAGACCCGGGTGGTGCTTCGGGTGGGCAGCGCCCATTACTATGCCATAGTGGTAAGTTGGGAGCCAGGGGTCATTTTGTGTGTGTTCAAGCCAGAAGGGCTCCCAGAGCATCAGCACTAACCTGTCTGGTGGTTCGTGCTTCCTGTGTAATGGGAAATGGTGGGTCCTGTACCTGAGACATGGCGGTGTGCTGCTAACCTCTCAGCACTCTGCAGTTTTCCCCTTTGTGTGGCCAGCTGCAGCTTCTGGAAGTGAAAACTGGATCTGAGCCCAACTCCCTCCAAGGGCAGGAGGTTTTATACAAAGTCCCAGTGATGGTCTTCCAGCTTCTCCGACACCAGAGCCAATGACTGAAGGGTTCCCTTGGTAAACGGTGGGAGGGCTAAAGAGAGTGCCCTGAGACTAGTCTCCCATCAAGGGGATCTCTGCTGTGTGTGTGACTTCACTGGGGCAGTCAGGTTGCCTGCATGTGCCAGAGGATTAGCCCTGGGGAAACTAACTCAAACCTTTGCTTCAGCATTTTTGGCAGTCATGTTGCCTTCCTCATCGCCATCATACAGAGCTAATGGTGACACTGAGCCTTCCACTTCTTCCCATTGCAGTGGGTCAATGGAGTGCAGGTTGTGGAGCATGAAGGGGGCCACCTCCCCTTTGAAGCTGACATAAGCACCATTGTTCAAGCCAGCCCTGGAGATCCATGCCGCATCACCATCGCAGTCAACAACACGCTGTCGCCATACACTCTGCCTCCTGGGACGATTCAGTACCTGAAGGATGAGTCTAAGTAAGTGCACAGAATTGCTAAAATGTTGGGGATAGAAATTACCTGCCAGGACTGTCCTCAGTAAGAATAACTTGATGGGAAGCTATTTTAGCCACTTGTTCTCAAAGATCTCCAAGTAATCTTTGAACACGTGGACTGTCTTCAGCCCTGATGCATGGCAGTTTTGCAGCAGAGGTGAATTTTGCCCATTACTCCCCAGTGCTGTGCAGGAGCTAGACTGTATTACTGCACCTGTTTTCCAGATGGAAAACCAAGTGTAAGTGATTTACCCAGGAGCAGGTAGAGGGGCAGTGGCAGAGATGGGAATGGACCCCAACACTTCTGTCTTTAAGGGCAATCTGGGTTTCCCTGCCCCTCAAAGTCCCACCTCTGTCGCCCGTCTGTTGTTCACTTACTGATGGGGGGTTGCTATCATTGCTGCAGTGTTAGTGACAAGCCCTAACTGCAAGCAAGGGATTCATAGTGTGCCACTCATTCTTTCTCTGTTTTTGCTCCTGTGGGCTGGCCTGTGACCTGTTCCCCTCTCCTTTACTTGCTCACGCACAGGTATCCCAAGGGCTACTTTGTACAGAACACCAAGTTTGATTTTTTCAACTATGCGGGAATTCACCGCCCGGTTGTGGTGTACACAACCCCTGTTGCCTACATAGACGACATCACTGTGACTACTGCCCTCTCGGGGAACATCGGTACGTGCCCAGGCAATTGCAGCAACCCATTTCCTGTGAGGTGAAAGGGGGCAATGAAAGGGTTACCCCTTCCTTTGGCTGTGTAAGTGCCTGGCCTCCTAGCCCTGCCCTTCCCTGTGCTTGTCATCTCTTTGGTCCCTTACAACTCCCTTCATCAAGCCACCCATTCCTGCCTTCTCATTCTGCTGGCTGTGTTTGGGGCAGCTTTGCCAGCTTGTCCCCTAATATCTGTTGGTTCTCCTGTCCTGTAGCACACCCCAGCTGTGAACCCCACCTCCCCTTCACTTCTCTGTGGGCTCCTAGCCCCATGGAGAAGCAGGAGTATGGTGACTGGTCAGCCCAGGTGGGTATATGGTGCTGTACATGTTTGTAGAGCTGGACAAACAGCTGGTGTTATTGTCCATGACAGGCAGCTTTGACAAACACATCCAGGGAGATGAAGTCCTCTCTTGCCAGAAGTTTGGCAGGGACATTGCAGGACACCACGTTTACAGACTGAGTCCTGCACTTGTACTCTTAAGAGTGGATTCTCCGTAGCACATTCACTCCTGGCTGATCTGTCTCTGGAAGCAGTAGCAGTGGTCACTGGGGTTGTGGACATGTGTCCACCAAACTAGCCCTTTGTAGGTCAGTCATGACTTGGTCTCGTGCCTCTGAGTTCTTGGACCGGATTTGAACCAGCACACTAAAGCTGGAAGCCTTCTACTCTGTTACCAATATGACAAGCCAAGCAGTCCCCACAAACCTTTAAAACATGACATTCAGATAAGCAATTGTTTGTTTGTTTTTTTAAATCTTGACTAGTGCATAGCTTCTAAGTCAAGGTTTACAAATAGAGGAGAAACACTCCATTGAACTGGGAGTGATATGTCTCAGGAGCCTGCCGCCCAGTGGGCAACACGTCAGTGAGGTGCTGACTGGGAGAGGACTGTAAGGCAGTGACTTCCATCACTGGAGTCACCAGGAAATGCACCCACTGCTTCTTTGAGTGTGTGATGGAAGATGGGTCTCTAACTTGCTCTGTGTTTTCCTTTGGGCCAGGTGTGGTGCGATATGAGGTATCGGTGATTGGCAGCTCACAATACTCCTTGTCACTGAATTTACGTGAGAAAGAGGGAAAAGTGGTTGCCACAGGCCAGGAAGCTGTGGGGGAATTGAAAGTGGTGGATCCCAAACTTTGGTGGCCTTATCTGATGCATGAAAACCCTGGCTACCTTTACTATTTAGAGGTAATGAGCCCATTCATCTCACTGTTCCCCCAGTAAACTGAAGGGAGTGCATGGATAGGCTGAGACATTCCTCAACATGCCTTTTGAAAGCAGCTGGCTACCTGCTTTTGCTTCCTGCCCTGTATGATATCTTTATTCATTCCATAATGCTTATCAAACCTTGTCAGCTTTATGCTTTGCTAAAGTGAAGCTGAAATGCTGAGGGAAAAGGACTGGGTGTGGGGGAGAGGATTGAGAGGCTGCTAGATTCAAAATCTTACCCGGTGCTTGTGATCAGTACCGCTGTCTTGTCCCCAGGCCCAATCCAGCTCTTATTGAAGGTGAAGAAGTGTGCTTCCAGGGACTTCAATGAGAGCTGGATTAGACCCCTGACCAAGTAGGCGAGAGTGATCATATGGGCAGGCGGAGATTAACTGGGATGGATTGCTAACATATTTCTCTCGCTCTACAAATGCAAGGAGCATTCTTCCCCAGTACAATACGCTGGTATAGCTTTGTTTTCAGAATATAGCACCAAATCCTTGAGACTGGAGTCCCTACCTGCCTTTATCTCCTCTGCGTGAATTGGAATCGAATGGTGGTTGGATCAGTCAGCCCACAGATAGTCTCCAAAGCCCCAGGTGCATCTCTCTTGGGAGCAGGCTGAGTTTCAGTCTTTAGGTGGTAACTGGGAGGTGGTGTGCTACGGAGTCATGCCCCAGCGGGATAGTACTGGCCGTCAGGAGCGGGAATCAGCTCCGAGCCCTTTAGAGAAATCGGTCTAAAGCTAGACAGCCTGCCTGCCTTCCTTCTCCTCCTTGCACCCAAACCTGGACTCCCACCTTCTCCTTCTGCCAGGAGTTGACCCTGGCCTCTGGCTACACGGTTAGATGAGAGGTAGGTCAGACCAGGACGGAAAGCTGAGATACAGCTGTAAAATGGATGGGGAGCACAAAGCATGGGTCCCATGGCATGGGACTGTCTGATGAGAGGAGCAGTGAGTGTCTTGCCCTTTGTGCTCTGTGTTGACATGGGTGTTGGCTTGTGTTGTGTTTCCAGGTTAAATTGTCAGCCCAGGTGGACGAGGACCTGACTGAGGATGTGTACACAGTCCCTGTTGGGATCCGCACTGTACATGTGACCAGCAGCCAGTTCCTCATCAACGGGAAACCCTTCTACTTCCACGGAGTCAACAAGCATGAAGATGCTGACGTAAGTGCCTAGAGCAGGGCATCGAACTGCTGAACTGCTCCTGTCCGCTCCCTTCCCGTCCACCTACTCTGGATTCATGCATGGGACTGCCAGGAACTCCTAGTCAGCTTTAGATGCGTGCCAGTGATGAACTAGGCTGCTGAGGGATTTCTGTTGGAGTGGTTTAGGCCCTGTAGTGCTAGTTGCTTGTTGCATGTGCACTCCATTGTACTATACATAGACTTTGCACAACAGCAGCCTAGAAGGGATTAATGAAGGGGTGGGCAATTATTTGGGCCTGCAGGCCAAAGAGGCAGTTTTGGGGAGTTGTCATAGACCAATCGGCATGCTCCCCGCAATAGCCTGGAGCCCGCACAGCCCCAGCCCACCCTGCAGCCACTCTGGACTTGCCCCAGCCAGAGCGGACCAGCTTGGGACCAGCCCTGGGCCACCCTGCACCTGCTTTGGACCACCCACCCATGATGAGTAGTGGCAGAAGTGGTGGTAGTTGGGCAGAAGCTGGGCATGGGGGAAGAGTGACCGCCTCCCCCTTGCTGCTGCTGGGCCCTTCTTGCTGCAGTCACCTGGAGCCTGCACCCTGTCCAGCTGCTGCCACTGCTGCTCATCGTGGGTGGGCGGTCTGAAGCAGGCGCAGGGTGGCCAAGGGTTGGAGCTGTGTGTGTAGGTCCTGGTTGGTCCAGAGCTGGTCTGCTCTGGCTAGGGCAAGTCCAGAGTGGGTGTGGGGCCGGGGCTGTGCATATGGGTCCCTGCCAGACTCTGTGGGGCTAGCAATCGTGGTAGCCAGAAGGAGCTGCCACTACCAAGGCTGCCTAGAAATGCAGTCCAACTGTGGAGCCGCCCCAGCCCTGCTGCATGCCAGGGGCCAGTGGGATGTACCATGGACAGGATGGCACCTGGCCCAGGTGGGACCAAGGGACCTGCTGCAGGCTGGACAAAGTCCCTCCACGAGCTGGATCTGGCCCGTAGGCCATATTTTGCCCCTCCCTGGGTTAATGGGTAAAACACACTGTGGTGAAAGAGCTGGTTAGAAACTGCTGCTACAAATAACAGTGGCTGAAGCAGAATGGGGCAGCAAGTCAGGGAAGGGGGCTGCTGAGTGGCATCACTGTGGTGAGGCAGCTGAGCTACAAGAACCTGGTAGAAGCTGAAGGGGGAGTTGTGGCAGGAGAGACTGCTGTGACATGAAGGAAGGGACTGTAAGAAACACGCCTGAGCTACTTAACAGTGTCCCTGGGCGAGGGGAGCCGAGTCCACTACACCCCATCTCACCTGACAGGCAATAGGACCAAGGGCTAGCAGACCCCAAAGCTGGACATTTGGTCCTCCAGACTCTGGGGCTGGGTGTGATCTACCTGTCACCCCTGAGAAGGTAAGACCTGAATAAAAGCAGATCATGAAAAGATGGTTACTTTAGGTTTGGCTATGACAGGGCACCAGGAACACGGGCAGAGCCCTTTGAGGAAGAGATGCACTTAGACTTTGTGGCAGGTTGCATGATTTAGCTTGGTGCGGTGCAAAGTATTGTTCGTCCCTTATTCATAATGGATTTTTTTGTCTGCTTTTCCCTCAGATCCGTGGTAAAGGACTGGACTGGTCCCTGATCGCCAAGGACTTCAACTTGCTGAAGTGGCTTGGAGCTAATTCCTTCCGCACGAGCCACTATCCGTATGCAGAGGAGATCATGGATCTGTGCGACACATATGGCATCGTGGTTATTGATGAGTGTCCTGGAGTGGGGATGAAAGACATGTAAGCGACTGGTGGAAAGTCCTCTCTGCTTTTTACCCGGGCTGCTTAAAATGAGTATTTGCTGAGCACCAGTCGTGATAGCTCAGACTGCAAGAGCACAGCTTCTCCCTATAGTCACTGCACAGCATAATGCAGCCTTACAGTGGAGGTAGGACCAAACTCTGTTCCTAAACTGCACAGTGTTGAGCTAATTGGGTCTATCCCCATCTGTATTGCAGGCCTGAGCTGTGCCTGTTCACACTGTAGGCTCCTGAGCTGTAACTGGAGCTGCTTTAAACCTGGTGGCTTTAAATCTGTACAGAAAAGACCCAGTTCATCTGAACCAATGTGGCCTTGTCCTGTTTCAGCAAACCTCAATCTAGCCAGACCACTCGCGATGAGTGAGAGGAGGTTGATGAAAGGCTCTGGTTTTGGTTCATTTTCAGTTCAGGCACACAAGCTGCACTGGTGACGGAAGAAATCCTGGGGGTGCTGCTGGGGTCTCTGACAGGATTGGGCAGCGCTGTGTTTTCTGGAGGAAGAGGAGGAAGTGTTGCAGCCAGGAGACAGTTTTGGGAAGGAGCACGTGTGGTGGAAGGGAGGTTGCATATTTTGCCGGCACTTCTCAAGCCAATTACCATTCTGCAAGTAGCAACTCCCTATCCAGGGACACAGGGTCAGCTCCATCTCTGTGGAGGGGCTCCTGTCAAGGTTTAATTTAGACCTTTCTGCTGCAAAGTCCTTGGTGATTATTGTTAGCACAAAAATGGATTTACTCGGCAGCTGTGTGACTTACTTTTGCTTCCTTGTGTCTTTGAGTGAGAACTTCGGGAACCAATCCTTGGCACATCATCTGGTGGTGATGGAGGAGCTGATCCGCAGGGATAAAAACAGGCCATCGGTCGTGATGTGGTCTGTAGCCAATGAGCCCGCCTCAGAGCTGCCTCCAGCAGCTAACTACTTCAAGTAAGTGCAGATTCTTGCACATGGCTTGATTGATTATGAGGAATGGGCTGTGTAATGTTGCAGACAGCAAGGAGTTGAATTGGGAAGACAGGCATCCTTCTCTACCGAGCAGTAAACTCCCATACTCTGTTCAGGAGTCTTTGTAAAGTCTGTAAAACTTGTTTCAGTCTTTTCTGTGCTTGCTGGGTCTTTGCCTGGTGCACATGCACGTTTGCACGGTGAGTCCAATCCCCCACAGTGGCACTTTGTCCTGCTCCTTCTTCAGGCTAAGGAACTGTTAAAAATTATTGGGAACCCATTTAGGAGGAGGTGCCCTTTTTGAGACTAAGGTTCAGCAAAAGCAGAACATGGTTGGGTTTCTCCTTACTGCAGGGAATCAGGGGTCAGAGTCACTTCTGGCTTAAATTTTGGACTGCAGTGGAGCTCAGTCAGTGCATAGGGGAAGCCCTCGGCTGAGGAAGTCGCAGTACTTGGCTGCTTATTTTGATCTGCAGGAAGCTGGTGACTGTCCTCTTGGGACTGGCTTTCTTAAAGGCTGAACAGATCCACACTACTCATCTTCTTAACAACAGGAAAAGGGCCACAGCCCCTTTCCACAGCTCAGTGCTGCTGGTTTGAGGGAGAGGTAGATAAACCACTTCCCCATACTTTGAGTTCCTGCTGTGATTTCTCTGGCTTTCAGCAGCCTCCACTGATCTTTTCACTGTGTAACCTTCACCTGAGCAAGTCCATTGCTTTCCCTCCCAAGATTATCTGCATACTAAGAGAGATGAACACCACCCTGTGGCTTGCACTTCTGACCTTAAAAATATTCCATTAAACTGCTCCAAATGTGAGGGGGCGGGGGAGTTCTTGAGGTTTATGAGGCTTTCTCCTTGGTGATGGACGCTTGTGTTTTACTGTTTGTAAACAGGACAGTGATAGCTCATACTAAAGCCATTGATCCCACCAGACCTGTAACCTTTGTGTCAAATGCTAATTACGCTCGTGATCACGGTGTAAGTTTAATTTATTTTCTAGATCTTTTTTTCTTTGGTTTGCTGAATAAAACTGGAGATGGGGGATGTTTGATGGTCCTTAGCTCCACTTCTCTCCCTTCCTATAACAGATGCTTAGAAACCAGGGAGGGCAGGAGAGGTTTGTTCTGCTGAGTTTAGACGCAAAACACATAGGGCCCAGCCCTCCAAATCTCTCGGACAAAGGTTGCCGGGGTTGCGTTTCTGGAGGGGAAGGTGTGCAGAACCTGCCCCACTAGGCAAAAATATAATGCTTTCACACATGCTTTGTGGTTCTGTTGCCTGCTGATCTATGCCTGAGTCTCACCCTTGCAGAAAGCTGTTTTTTAACCCACCGCTGCAAACTTCCCTAAAACTTAACTGTCCTCAGCGAGGTTGAGTAAAGAATGCTTTGCCTTAACTTTGGGTTTAAATGGCTCTTGATCATCTTTAGCAGCCACCTGTTAACTTCCCGTAACCTCCAAACCTCTCCAGTAGGAATTCAGCTTCATAGCCGGAGCTTCTGAACTAGGTGCCTCCACTCTGAGAGTGGTTCCTAAGCATCTTCATGGGCTACATCCTGCTACGGACAGCCTAAAGCCTTGAAGTGCTTGTGTCTCCATAGGTAACAACTACATTGGAAGCCAGATGCCACACACAAGGATTTGCGGTGGTTTCACTCTAACACATCTCTGTAACTGCTCTGTTCTTAGAAAGCATGTGGCCAGGTGTGTGTATATAACACACATACCTGCTTGAGGTTATCTTTCCTTTTCCTTTCAGAGTGCAAATTGGGCGGTCTGACAGCTAATATGTGGCCCGAAACTCGGAAAGACTGCAACTCTTCCCCCTTCCCCAAGCAGAATTAGAATTGGTGGAGTTAGTTTTAGGGGGCTGGGAGGGAGCTGCTGTTGATTTGAGGTAACATCCCACCCATCCCTAGTTGCAATGCAAACACTGCTCCGACTACAGTGGCATTTTGCCTCCTGTGGGAACGTGCTTATTCCAGTAGTTCAGGGAGACGCACAGGGGATGGAAAGAACTAATTTCATACACAAGTTCTCATGTTAGCACCTTTAATACAAACACATTAGAAGAACATTAGGCAAGTAACATACAGCAATGCCGCTTTGCTCCAGCAGGCTGACACCCTTTATCATGCTGTCCATGTAGTAGAAATGGTATATAACTTGAACACTTAGTCTTAAATTGCCCTGCTGATGCGTTTAATTCAAAGTAATAACCACTAAGTTGACGATCGCATTAGCTCATGCTAAAAAAAACCCACGCTTGAATATATTGCCAGACATCTTGGAAATTCCAGGAGTACTAACAATTGTAGGGCTAAGTTAGACTGGCTTCTGTTTGCCTAAGTCTGTAAGAAAAATTATTACTGACTGGTTAAATTGCTTCCTGCATTTTCCGAGAGGGGCGGGGTTGGGGCAGCCTCTTTACAAGAGGTCATTCATCCTCCCTGTAACTAAATGGAGCTCTCCCAGAGGACAATTTGGCTTCGTTAATCTATGTAGGAGACTTTAGGTTTCATTACAGATGCTTCTATTTATTATTTCCCCAGGCTCCTTATGTTGATGTAATTTGTGTAAATAGCTACTTCTCCTGGTACCACGACTCTGGCCACTTGGAGGTTATTCAGCTGCAACTCAATACACAGTTTGAGAACTGGTATGAAACCTACCACAAACCCATTATCCAGAGTGAATATGGAGCAGACGCTGTATCTGGGCTGCACAGTGTAAGTTTTTGGGGGGTTTTGTGGAAACACTTATTTAAAATAAGGTCTTACTCAAACTTAACACTGCTTCATAGAAGTGTAGAGAAGTAGGGCTGGAAAGGACATGGTAAGTCATCTAGTCCAACCCTGTGCCTGAGGGGTTAGACTAGAAGACTTACTAGATGACTATCCAAACCGGTCCATACAAATCCTTGTCTCACCTACTACTAAAACTGCATGGATTAACTCTGTCGCACAACTATAAGGTACAGGATCCTAACCTGCCACAGGTAAAGCAGGGGGACAATGGTGGTTAGTGCCCTTTTGCTACAGGAATTAAAATATGCCCGAGAGCACCAAGGCATAGAGAGCTATACTCCCTGCTGCAAAGGAAGGCAACCACTCTTCCAGTCCGTATCAGTCTAGCCATGTTAAATTTTGTCCTGACCCCAAATGTTGGGATCAGTCCAACCCTGAACAGAGGGGCTAGATTCTTTAGCTAGAAACCTTCAGGTTCTTGTCCCAGTAGGAGCATAGACCCCCAGACAAAGTCCCCAGCTGTGGGTGCAGCCAATATCCATTGCTGCTAGATCTGACCAATTTTTATCCAGCCTCTTCCTGAACACCAACAATGGAGATTCTGCAACTTCCCTAGGCAGTCTATTCCAATTTTTCACTCTTCTAACACATTTTTCCTGATACCCAATCTATAACTGCTTTACTGCAACCTCAAGCCACTAGTCCATGTCCTGCTCTCTGCAGCAAAAGAGAAAAGGTCCTCTCTCTCTTCTTTACAGCAGCCTTCAAATGGCTGAAGACTTGCCCCTTACTGTTGAGACATTTTCCATTATACGTAAAAGTCCCCAGATGCCATACTGATGCAAGTGTTGAAATCCTGGTCTCACTTAAGTCAGTGAGTTTTGGGCCATTGGCTTCAAAAGGGAAAGGATTCCATCCTAGGGAGGGTGAGAGGGAAGAGGTCTCCACTTCCAGTAAAAGGACTGCTGCAGGCTGTTAATAAGTTTTCCTTCTCATTCTGTCTGTTGCTGCAGAAGAGATGTATAAAACTTAGCTACACCTTCTCCATTGGAGTTGTCACTTGCCTGCTGTAGCATTTCCATTATAGACCAGTCAGATTTACAAGCTGACCCTGCTTGGAATTGTTCAAGCCACTGCTTAAAATAAACCTGTTTAATAAGTTATGCTCTTACGCTATGTCATAGTTTTCCTTTTTAGGACTAATTCTGACAGGCAGGCCACAGCTAATTGCTGATTCATATCTCAGTGGCCCAATCTCCAGAGAACAGATTTAGAAATATTCTGGGTTTTATTTGGGGAGAATATCAAGCAGGCATTAGGGAGAAAAGCTGCTTTGTTCTGGGACAACTATGAGAATCTCTTGTAGAAGGCAGAGCTAGCTAGCTTGAGATGGGGTACAGAGCACCTGTGTACCCATTCAGTTACCCACTCTTTTTTGCCATTCCTGGCCTCTCTGAAGCAGCTGCTGTTTCCTCTCTTGGACCTGGCCACAACTGCATGGTAGATGGAGTGCGTGAGCAACCTTAAAGGTCGTCAGTAAAGTTACCGCAGAGAGTCCCATGCTAGAATTGGCAGTGGCCTGCATTTTAAAAGACTCCTCTCCCTCCCTGGACTGTAGGATCCACCACTGATGTTCAGCGAGGAGTACCAGGTAGCAGTGCTGAAGCAATACCATGCTGTCTTGGACAAGAAGAGGAAGGAGTATGTGATCGGGGAGCTCATTTGGAACTTTGCTGATTTCATGACGGACCAAGGTAAGCCAACCGCAGGATGGCACAAGAGCTTCCATCCCCTAACATCACAGCCTTCCCACTTTGGACAGGTGTAGACAAACTAAGTGCCAACAAGTCACGTAGACCACCTAGCTGGCTTAGGTAACACTGAAGTACTTCATTTAGAAGTTCCCTTGTTGCTTCCTTTGTGAAACTCTCTTTACTGGGGGAGCAGGTGGGGTGAAGGAAAAGGTAGATGCTTGAATGTTAAGATTCGAGTCCAGAGGGAAGCAAAGCTGGCCAGAACAGCCCTTCATCCCTAGAGCTTCCTTCTCGTTTTATCATCCAGCTCCTCCAAGAACTCTCCAGAGTTGTTTTGAAGAGCATGCAGGGTCCACAAGCAGCTTGCTCTCCTGGTCTCAGAGTTTCATTGTTCACTTTGTACACCAATCAAACTGCTGGAGAGGGTTGCTGCTGTGCTACAAAATAGGACCAACTTCTATAACCAGCTTGGCTAAAATTGTGCTGGGAACAGGGGGTGTGGAAGAACATGCTGCAGCAAGTACTTAAATGCAAACAATCAGACTTTTTTCTGCTTGCTACAGTGGATCCAGACAAGAGTGTCCTTTAAGTAATTTTAATTCAGTCAGCTAAACAGCATTGTTTAAAGTTGCCTTCTGTGGCCTGCAGAGGACTCTGTGCGGGTCCCAGATAACTTCTGAATGTCTTCTGTGTAGCCAGCTCCCACATCTTGGTCTCCTGATGTGTCCAGTGACAGCGTGTGAATGGTAACAGTGGGGCAGAGCTCAGTGTTTGAGGACAACAGCCTCACGCCTTGGAATTAGAACTACCTACATGCCTGCAGGCTCCTGTGCTTTAAACCGGAGCCAAGCAGTTAGTGTGCAGAGAAACAAAACCAGTTTTTGCTGCTGCTCCGTGGAAGTGACTTGATGAAGGGTTAGTTTGTTTCTGCTGTTGCAGTGGGACGGGTGCAGAGTAATATGCAGAGCAGGCTGGGGTGCAATCACTTCTCTGTGACACAATCATGCTGAAGTAACATGTCCGGTTCACAGTGGCACTTCCCGTCACACACAAATGAATCAAGGGGGGGAAAAAGAGGTCTAGCATTTATTACTGCCTCCTCCCCCAGAAAGCCTGACTGCCCTCAACATCTTGTCTACTGAGGACATACACAGCTGGATTTCAATCTGTGACTACCCTGGCATTTCCAGCCTGTGTCCAGCTCTAATAGCAGCAGTACCCAGTATGGCAATGTGGAACAAGGGTAAAAATGGTTGGCTGCTGTATGCTGCTAGGACTGGTGGTGGGGGATAAAGCAAGGCAAGATCTGGCATAGGTGTGCAACCATTATTTGATCCACAGTGTGGCATATCAGCAAGACTTAAGTTGTGACTGATAAAGAAAGCATGCAGTATTATAAGGGACCAGTTACACTTATGCTGTCTCCAGGGTGGTAGTAGCCAGGAAATGAACATGCCGTCTACTCGTTCTCCTTAACTGACAGTTTCAAATACTACTGAGCAATTTCTCAATAGCAGAAACCACAAATGCAGGCATAAGTGGGGGGGAACTGTTCAGGGAAAATGGACAGGAAATTAAAAATAATGCCCTTGCAGCCTGTAGAGAGAGAGAGGATACAGCTTCACTCTGTGACAGAAGACTACAGGGATCTGATAGGGATGTGAAAGGTTAAACTATAATTATAATTTACACTGTTGGTGCATTACAGTTAACATTTAAAATGGACTACATTGTATGAATTATTACATGGTTTACCCATACTACTTCTTCAGCATACCCTTCCCAGAGGCAACCCAATCTGTCTTTCCACATCTGCCTGCCCCTTCCACTAGCAGTTTGCACATGTAACTAGGGCCAGGGTAGGAGGTGGCAGTGGAGCCAAGCAGAGCCAGCCTTCTTCCCAGAGGAGGAGAAAGGGAGGTAGGGCAGGGCACAATGGCCAGCAGCAGGAACACCACTTGCTGCCTGCCACCTGCATGTCTTGTCCTGTGGCAAGCAGGGTGAGTGCTGGCTGCTCTGTAGGCATGTTGTCAGTTAAATGGTTAATCAATATAATTAGGAGAGTTTAAACAGCTAATTTTAAAATTATGTTTACATCATGGCTGCTGGTTTTAAGTCCAAAAGGGCATGAACAGTCAGTCAAGGAAGATGCAGGTTAACAGCAAGGGTGACTCAAACATTCCTTAGAACAGGAACATAAAATGTTTTCTTGGTGAAATCGAACTGTGAAACAGCAGGGGGAGAAAAGCCAGCTACTTCAGGTTACACAGTTCTCACACCAGGACATTAGAGACTTTATCTTGCTGTGAGCTAAAGGTTATTAGGTTGTCTGCATCAGTGGCTCTCGACCTTTTTGGGACACAGCGCTCCTCTATAGCTTGTGAAATGTGCAGTATTAGATTTCAAAAACTAAGTTTATAGACTACAATGCTTACTGCCTCCACCTTGCAGAGGGACTGGGCAGTATGGGTGGGAGACAGGCAGATGTGGCCTGGCCTTGTCTGCCATTCTCCTCACCCTTTCTAGCACCCTAGTTGAGAATCACTGATGTACACAGATGGGCATACTTAACTGGGTGGAGGTGTGCCTAAAAAGGGGGCTGTATGGATGGATTTACATGCGGGG